ATCACCATGACCATGGTGATCATGGTCATTATGGTAAGGACCATGAGGGAGGACATCATGAGGAACATGGCGGACACAAAAAGGGTCACCACGATGAACATGGTGAACATGGAAGCCATCATGAGCACGAGGAAGGACACAAAGGTTCGAAGAGTGGGCACAAGAAGGGCCACAAGAAGGGGGAGAAGACACATGGTTACCATCACAAGGCTCACAAGGATGAATACCATAAAGAACATAAGTTCTATGATGATTATCACAAGGGTGGACACCATGAAAAACATGGGAATCATCATGGACACCACAAGAGTAGCGATGGTCATCACAAAAAGGGAGGACACCACCACTCTGGACATCATAGTGACCATCATGGAAAGAAAGGACACTTTGATAAGGGACATTATGACGAGGATCATAAAGGATTCCAGGGCAAACATGGGTTCGATGAACACCACTCGCACCATGAAGATTACGGTAGCAAGAATGAACATCATGGAGGAAAGTCTCATGGATATTCTAGCGGTGGTGGAAGTGGCGGAGGTGGTGGTGGAGGTGGAGGAGGACATGGAGGTGGCGGTGGCGGACATGGTGGCGGACACGGAGGTGGTGGCGGAGGTGGACACGGAGGTGGTGGCGGAGGCGGACACGGAGGTGGTGGCGGAGGCGGCCACGGCGGATATCATCGACGTTAGAAGACAACACATGAAATCTTGTTTTGATTCGTTACATTATTTGTTTTTTATTCTGTCGTTGATTAATTTTAAGCAGTACATTGAAGTTTGTCACGTATAACGTTTTCAACTTGATGATTAAACTGTTTCGAATAATTAAGTGTCTTAATTTTTTTAGTTAATGAATTCCCACTCTGTACTCTTTGAAGCACTCACCTCAGTTTTTCCAGAGTTACCAAATTACATTTAGAAACTCAATGCTAATCTTACACTCTTCTACACTTTCCTAAAATTTAATATCTAATCTGCTGTCATTTGATATAACTATCATTATTATTATAAATTATAAATATATAATTACAACTATGATTGACAAGACTAAAAAAATAGAATACACAATTCGAAAAATATCTAAGAATATTTACGAAATTGATTTAACGCAATGTGTTTATCGCGCAGGTATTAACCAAGTGTATTGTTTCCCAAACAGTAAATTAGTATTAGTATGTTTGAGATTCTCGTTTTCATGTAAACTAAAGCTGTTGTGCCTGCCAGTAGAACATTAAAGGAAGCTGATACGTTTACCGTACGTGGTGTTGATAGTTCCGGCAATTTTGGCTCGAGAAAGGTACGCGTCCGTCATAAATTACTGAAACCTGAAAAGCGTGGTCTTCTCCCATTCCAACCATTACAAGGAGATTGGTGAAAGCAATCGTCACACTGGTCACGACAATCGACACTGCGGCCACGATAATAATGGCTACAACAGACAGTTCGGCTTCGAGGACTCTAACTGAATGGCACCACACAGAGATAACAACACCGGCCACTACAGTGAAGATGGGTGCGAGAAACGGGGCCATAGTAATGATGACGGTTGCTACGGTTACCACTTCCAGAGCGATGATAAAGACATTTGCGAACACTTCCGCGAAAATGGTCAATGAAACAACATTTGAAGTGGCCACGGAATGCGACGATGCAACAGCTTTTGTCGATATACAGATTCCCACGTAAGAACAATGAGAGTTGTGAATTTCAAAAACGCCCGCATAATTTTGATGGCGGTAATATCTGTTAAAGGAGCAATTATGGTAATGGAATATACTGTGATTATGGTAATAAGGAACTGAGGAATAATTAGCTTCGATGGAAATGTATCAATATTAGGTCTTCCCATAAGTAATATCATTCCCTATCTTATTTCTTAATATATTTATTAATGCCATTTTAAAAATGACATTAAAAATTAATTGGAAAATGAGAATAGGTCACACTCAATGATGGTCAATGCGATAACGATTAACAAAGAACTTAAGCATTAATTTCTGTGCTACTGGTTAGTATAAAAAACGACATTACTTACGGTATTCTGAAGTTCTATATCAGCATCTAAAACTATTGAGTTTGTATCGTCTCAATTGATTTAGTTATTGATTTTCGTTGATCTCTTACTGTTCTAATCGTTGACAATATTAAATGTTTAACTAACTTAATATTTAATTATTAAGATAAAATCATATCTAATTGAATACCTCTCTCAACTCTGAATTTGGGAGCTGTTCCCTTCCTTTTGAAAGGAATAATGGCAAACAGACAAAAGTACGGGTCAAATATTTCTGCAAGAACTACTTTTCACCAAAGTTCCATCAAAATCTGCTGATGTTACACCGCTGCGTCCTCCCGCCACGCATAAACTCATCTACTTCCTACCCACACCAGCGTTAATGCATAATCGTAAACTATCCCGTGCATGTAAAGCGAATATGCAAGAAGAGAGCGAGCGCAGCGTCGCATAAAGAAAGGTCCACCCACGGGCGAGCAATGAAAGAAAAACTATTTTCACCGCAGCGAAAACGTAGATACGTAACCCATAAAAACTGTCCGTACGGTCGGGGCGGGGCAGCGGAAGGGAGCGCGGAACAAAGTAATAAAACGACGGTACACGTGTTCGCGCTGGCGTTGTTTAACATTTCAACGCATCATAATAAATTTTTACGTTCCTCTGGGTTCCTTTGAAACGGGTCCCGGGCTCGCGGCGCGCGTATCCTGTCCGTGCTGGAGCACACACTCCCACGTGCACACATATTCCCCCCATTTTTCCATTTTCTTCTCGCGCTCGCGGCGTTTTCGCTTTATCGCGCCGCGCGTGTCCCGGATTCGCACGTGTGCGCCGCTTGCACACTCACATACTGCCGACAACGGATACAAGGGTCGTAGAGGGGGCGGTTCGGCGGGGGGTGCTGGATGAATTGAGGACGAGAAGAGTCGTCGGTGGGAGGTTGCGGGCGCATTCAACGCGGCGCTGGTTTGATTAACGATTCCGTCCTCTGCAAATGAAATTGCCGTGGCCATTTGTGGGTCTATCTAGACTGGATTCCGGTGCGCTGGACACGGATTAACGGTGCTTTATACGCTTCTTTTAGGGCGTGCAGGGACGGTCGCAGGCCGTTCGCGATCACGGTTACCCATTCTCGGCCGGAGATTGCGTACGAGCTAGCGGTTCTACTTGAAATTCTCTGGCGTGTGACAATTCCGCGCCACGGCCGACCCCTCTGCCTCCTGCCATCGTAGCCTCTACCACCTCTATTGTTCCATTCCGTGATGCACGTAGGTACGTGTGGCTGGCTTAATTAATCTAATTGGAGTGGTCGCGCGACTGGCAAAAGAAAAGAAGGAACGCTGGCCCACACCGAGTGCTGGAAGAACTGTGCATGCACGCCGCGCGCCGCGTGTTAAAGAGGCCAGAAGCATCCAACCCCTTCCCCCGAGCCTTTGATCGATAGTGCAATAATACCGTCGTTCGGCCAAATTAATGAGAACACTCGAGCAACCGCCGACGCTCGTCTACGACGATGAGACCCGCCGGCGTGACGGGAACAACGGGAAAAATTAACCGGGTGTTTCGCGCTGAAACGGGAACACTCGATGTGTTAAGCAAGCAGACGATCCTCATCGTGCGACGCTTGTTTCGAGATGGCGTGGTACTAATAAAATTTGTTGCTGCTGGGAATGCGGACCTTGATTGGGGTTGTTGACTTCTAGAGACGAGTAACTTGCGAGTACGTGGTATTTGTTAACCCGTTACTATCAAACAATGAAGTGTATACTCATCAAACGCAGAGTAAATGTACCTACAATATATTCTAACGGAAAACTAAAGCAAAACGAATAAAAATTACATGTTTATCTGAAAAGATAAATAATTCATCGTTGAAAGAATTGGTACTGTGGGATGGCGGAGGTTTTGGCGAAAACAGGCACATGTGTATTTGTATTTTTATTGAAATGGGCTATAAGCGACTACAATTAAACTAAACTATGTACCTTAATCTATTTTACGCAATACTATGCTGTTCCACGCTGGTATACTCTGATTTACTACTCTAGATTCTCGAACTACACTGTTCCACGCTAGTCCACTCCGTTCTGCTCCTCTCACTTCGCAAAACTACACTATTCTACGCTAGTCTACTCTGTCCCGTTCCTCTCCTGTCAACTGCAAAACTACACTATCTATGATAGTCCACTCTGACCTGCTCCTCTCAACTCGCAAATCTACTCTTCCCTAAAAAAGGCCTTACAATCGTCTTAAATACTAATCCCGTCAACACAGTGCATGATCCTGCAGGCCATCATCGGCCGCCTGTGAACCACCTAACTTCAAGTGACTTGGTCGTAACTATCCGAGTATACCTGCGGTATCCGGCCTTACGCGTCGCACCCCACAGTATGATTTTGAGTTTTAAGATGACGTGTATATTCGTCAAACGCAGTTACAGTGGGATATGAGGGGAATCTTCCACTCACGACGCTCGGGCCTCGGCATGCGCCAATAATGACCATCCATCGAAAGCCGACCGTTGTCAGTGGAAGTGTCCCCTTACCATTCAGAGACTTGTACTGTAACTGGTTAAGAGAGATAATGGGAATTGAAATTTTCTAAAATAATCGAAGTTGTCGAGAAGCTTCGATTGTTATAGTTCGCAATTGCATTTAAACAGGAACCTCTTGCTGCATACCTACCTTATATTTTTGTAACAGTTAGTGATAATAGATTTCAGTGTAATTTTAGTTTTTACCCTTCGTTATTAGGTGTCGTATAATTGTCAAAGCAATATAATAATATAGGATCCAGACAATCAATGTTCAACTGATACTTATCTAGAAACAATTGAAAACATCTGGATTATCCTGTCTGTTTATTACTTACTGTTTACTTAACCGTTTCGTCCCTAAATATGTATTTTTTTTAATATGAATTCTGTAAGAAAACTTTATGGCTGTGCACTAGTCAACCAGAACACATGTACTGACAACTGATTAGCACTTAAGCTGTTAGCCATAAGCAAAGATCCCCGTGTGGCACAATTTTCTTTTACCTTCTTTTACCTTTTACCTTTCTAGTTTTCCAGTAATTTGTAATGTTCGTGGTACCTATATGTACCATTTGGGACGGAAGGGTTAAATCACCAATACTATGTGTGTATTAGACAATTCCTTGAGATGATTTATCTTGAAAATTTTAACCATAGAAACAAAGATTGCACAATTTTGATTTACTTTTACATAGGCAACTGCCATTTTTCCATACATCCCATGTATACGACAATACACTGTAGACGTCTTTATCTTGACATTAATATAAATCAATAATCTAACAAATGCATCTTTTATCTCATCGCAGTGTTAAGAATCAGCTTGCACCAGGTCCACAGAATTAACATCTTAATTAAACGTCTACTCGGACTGGCTTATTAACTCCCAAATATTGCCAGGATAATTTTTGGACAAGTCAAATGTTGAGACATTTATACTCACAATACAAAGCCATTTGCGTTCTAAGTTGTTTGTTTTTATTCTTTTACAATTCTTTATTGCTAAAAGAACTAGCCCGTAGTCAGTCTCAGTTTGAGTGTCCATGCGTGAAGATGTATCTTACTATGTTGTAACTCTTTTATTCTTTAGACCAAATGCACACGAACGGTTTGCGGCAAAATGTCGTAGCGACGATTGCTTTG